CACCTTTTTTCCAATGGTGAAATGCCTCCAGGACTGGGCTTGGTGTGTGGGGATGTTCTGGTAGGGAGAGAACTTCCCATCTGTCCACTTGTAGATGGCGGATGTGGCTTTCCGATTGGCAGTGGCTACGAAGAGTCCAGCCTTGGGGATGACAAAGACCTCGATGCCCAGCGTCTCTGAGTTCGTGAACAGGCTCTGATGTTCTTCCACATAGTCCAGCTTCTCCTTGGCTTGTGATGGGAATGTTGGGACCAGTTAATGCCTCCCGGATGGAAGCCCCGTGGACCAGTGTGGGAGCGTGACCTCTGGGGCCCTGGGCAGGCCCACGCTGGTCAGGGGATTGCCCGGAGCCTTCCACCCTCCAGGAGGTCTGACAAAGGAGCCTGCTTGGGATTGAGGGTCTGTAGGGCTCCCCAGGGACACCGATCAAGGGGAACAAAGTCAGGTCCTTATCAGACATTTCCTATGTCATGGCTTCCACACGAGGCCAGGCTCTGCAGGGAGCTAGAGGCAGGGGTTAAGGGCTCACCAGCGTGGCTGAGCCAGCTCGCTTCCTGCACCCACAGCGCCTCCACATGCCTTTCCCACCAGCAGGAGCAGCCGTGGAAAGGCCTGTGGGAAACGGTGCTGCTTTTGGGTTCCAGGCATCAGGGCCAAGCATCTGATCAGAGTGTGACAGCCATGAGGGGCAGGGGCACCCCCAAGGGAGGCAGCCCCACAGGGAGTCCCCAGCTCTCCCCTCACTGGAGGAGGCGATCTGCATGGGGGTTGCTTCCTGGTCCTCAGGAACGCTGGCCCTGCCAGAGCCCGAGAGCCCCCCTCACCTGCCAGCACAGAGACCCACTGGCTGCCCACACACAGGTACAGCCCCTTCCGGCCAGCGTCGAACCAGAACTGGGCGTCCTCCACTTTGGTGCACGGAGGCTGGGATCCCAGTGTCACCTTAAGGTGGGTCTCTGGGGGAGACAAGGGTACTTCAGTGGGTACTCGATCCCTGGGGCAGGGCGGGGCTGGGGGACCCCTGAGCCTGCAGCCCTGCCCTTGTCTTTGCCTGCCAGGACCGTGAGGGTGCTGTCGGGGGTCAGTGAGGGAGACCGGCCTCCCTGCTGCCCGGGGGAACTGCTCTTGCTGGGCCCTCCACACCCCCGCTGCCCCTCCTCACCTGGCGGTCCCCCCTCACCACCACCACCTTATCCTCCTGATGCACCGGCACAAGTTTGCCTAAAGTTGTGTTTTGCTAGTTCCGCAGCATTTTGTCCCTGTAGGCCCCCATCCCAGGTTGGGCACACAGCCTCATGCTGCCCAGCCACTTTACAGTGACATACACCCTGCAGCAGCCAGCAGCCAGGACCTCCCGGCTCCAGGTGGGGGGCACAGGGGCAGGACTCCAGCCCCCAGGCCCCTCCACACACGGGGCCAGGGCCGCCACCGGGGGAAGGAATGCCCCAGAGCCTCGTGCGGCTGGGAATTGGAAACTCCACTCTCAGATTGGGTTGTAAGGATCCGTGTACTCCAGGTGGTTCCCCTGACTTGTGAAGGAAGGACTGTGGGGCTGGGGGGTCAAGCTATCCCTGTGCCTCGCTGAGTGGTGGAGGAGGGGTGGGCGGGGAGGGGTTGTGGATTCCCCATGGCAGGGGGTGTGGTTTAAAAAGACAGACAGTGTTGGAACTTCCCAGGGGATGATGCAGACACAGACTAAGAGGGTGACGTCGGGGGCCCTATGCATGTCACAGAAAACAGAACCGCACCTACGAAGGTCAGGGGCCCCACTGGGGTGGGCTCAGACTTTGGCGTCTGTGGAGAGGGTGGGGAGAAAGGGGCAAACCAGGGGGCAGGCGGGAGGCAGAGGCTTCAGAGAAGGAAGCCAATGTCCCGCAGTCCCTGAGGCCACCATCCAGGCACCCTTGGAGGAGAGGCCGGCCACGCGGGCATGTCTAAGCCCATGGGCAGCCTTTGCTGGGGGCCCACTTATTCAAGCCTGAGCCGTCCCCCGAGAGGGCCGCCCCCGCCTATGGCCGGGAGAGGTCAGTGTCTAGGCTCTTGGGTCTGCCGTCCCTGGTGGGGGCAGGTGGCTCGGGTCTACTGACCATAGGGATATTTTAGCACCTCATTATCTTCTGGCTGCCCTGTGAGGCCCCTCAGAATGGGGGGGATGGACAGCACAGCAAGCTCGGGGTTCCTGCAGGGACACAGCCTCAGGGTGGCATCCGAGCCGGGCAGCAGGACCAGCTGCCTTATCAGGCCCTGCAGAGAGAAGGACAGCACATCCAGCCCACGCCACTGAGCCTGGGGCAGGGTGGGCTGCCCATGCATCGCTAGAGCTGGGAGAGAAGAGCCTGCACATTGGCCACGGGGAAGAACCGGCAGCAATAGTGGGGAGCTGAGCGCTGTTTCAAGACGATTAAACCACAAAAGGGACTTTGCCGTGGACTGACTGGGCTGCATTGCTCGTCCATTCATCCACCAGGCTGGCCATCCATGTATCCATCCAGGCACCTGTCCATGGTCCATATATCTGTCCTCCTATCCATCCGTCGACCTGTCCATCCGTCGATCTGTCCATCCATTTACCCATCTGTCTGTTGATCCATTCCCCCTCCATCCATCATTCACCCGCCCACCTGGCCAAGCATGCCATTGATAAATACTCACAAGGCACCCACTGTGCGTCAGGCCTGATTCCAGACATGGACGCAGCAGGGTACAGAAGCCCCTACCTGCAAAGAACCAGGTCTGCACTCTAGAGGCAGACAGGCAAGGAGCCACCACAGCTTGCTGGGGGCGGTCAGGGTGACAGAGCAAGGCAACCCAGGCAGGGGCTGCGAGGGCTCGGTGGGAGGAGGGCCCCGCAGGCTGGTCAGGGAGGCCTCCGGAGCTGAGGGTAGGGCTCATGGCAGCTGTGGAGACGAGTGTGTGGGGGGACAGAGGAGTGAGTACAAAGGCCCTGTGGTGGAGCATGTTCGGCGTGTGTGTGTGTGTGTGTGTGTGTGTGTGTGTGTGTGTGTGTGTGTGTGTGTGTGTNGTGTGTGTGTGTGTGTGTGTGTGTGTGTGTGTGTGTGTGTGTGTAGCATGTCTGGGGGTTGCAGTGTATCTGGGGGTGTGTGGAGGCTCCTGGTTGTGTGAAGCACCCCTCGTGCACGTGCCTCATGCACTGTGTCCCCCATTCCCCAAAGGCCTGTCGCAGCCCCTCTGGCTCGGGTGCTGGGAGGCCGGCAGAGTCACCCTGCCTACCGTGAACAGGCCTTTGGTCCTCCTCCGGCTGCCAATGAAGAACCGGGCTCCCTGCACAGACAGGCTGGCCGGGAAGGGCACGTCAGCTGCTCTGAAACACGGAGGACGAGGATGGTATTAGGGCCGTGGGGAGCAAGGCTGCACCTATTTCTGTGGAAAAGGACAGAACTGAGCACCACATGGGGCATGTGGGTCCCTGGGCGGTTGGAAGAACGGCACAGGCTGAGGCTTCAGCCTCCCAGGTGGACGCCTCTGTCGGAGAGCAGGGACACAGGGCTGCACCCCCGAAGGACCCCCAGAGGCTCCTCCTCGCCTGTCCACCTTCTGGGGGCGTCTGGCCTTTCCTGGCATGTGGCCACACCTCACTCTCTGCCTCCATTTTCACGTGGCCCCCGTGAGTGCCTCCTCTGTGTCCCATTCCCTCTCCTTATAAGGACACCAGTCTCTGCATCAGGGACCCCTACTTGAGTGTGACCCCAACTTCACACTAACTACACTTGCAAAGACAGTTTCCAAACAAGGTGCCTTTCCTGGTTCTGGTTCAGAGCGAGGGTTCTGGTGGGCGCCCTCTGCCCTCTGCCCCAGGAAAGGGGTCCTACATGAGAGGGCTGCTCTGCAGCTCTCCTCTGTCCCAGGGGCCTCCCGCCCACCCATCTCCCACTGGGCCCATTGGGAGACAGATGGCGTCAAGGCTAGAGGGGTCCCTGTTGGTGACCTGGGAGGGGTTGGAAGATGTGGTCGGAGGGGTCCTGCTGTGCAAGTACAGGCTGAACTCTGGATGGGGAGAGGGAGGCCACCCTGCTGGTGGGATGGTGGGGACGGTGGGTCTGGAGACCCCAGGGGGGGAGCCAGCAGGTCCCCACGTGCCAGTGTGGAGGAAGAGGGCCTCCCCAGCCACAGTGCCATGTCTGCATGTAAAAGCACGTGCTCCTTCCCATCGGCTCAGTGAGCTGAGGTCCTGACCTTGGTCCCAGAGCGTCCCCACTCCAGGCATCACTCCTGGGCTCCTGGCCCCAGGCCTAAATTCCCCTTGGCCACCACAGGCTCGAACTGCAGCCCTCATCTCCCGTGGCGAGGCCCCTGCACCCCCGCTGCAGAGCGGTCCCCGCCTGCCAGGCATGGCCAAGAAATGCTCTCAGGCTTCCAAGTGCCCAGGCTGTGGGAAGGCCACTGAAGGGCTTCTCTGTGCCTTTATTTGGAGTTTCAGGAGACATTTACTCCCTCATCCCAGAGAAGGAAACTGCTTCTAGATAAGATGACCTCCTGGAAGTCACAAAGCAAAGCAGGGCCTGGGCCCCGTTGGCCCAGCTGCATTTGGCCCCTGGCCCAGGTTCTCCATTGGCTTCCTCTGTTGGGCACGTGCCCCAACCAAGTCCAATCCACCTGCCCGGACACTGGCCGGGTGGCAGCTCCACTCCTCCCCCTGTCCTCCGGCTCTGCTCTGGCAGCCTGCGTGTCCCCTGCTACTGTGGCCTTTGGGGAGGTGGGTTTGACCCTTGATCCCGCCAGTGACCCAGGGGCGGGAGCTCCGGTGGGCGGCTCCTCCACAGCCTGGCCCTGCGGAGCAGAGGCTCTGGACAGCAGCACCGAGCAACGCTCCCCGGGCACCCTGCTACCTACATGTCCGCGGGGAGGCCGCAGTCCATGGTGAGAGAGAAGGAGCCTTCCGACACAGCCAAGACCAGCGTGTGCCACCGGCTGTCCGTCAGCACCAGGCTGTGGAAGGACACTCGGGTCTGCCAGGCGCCGGCCGCATCCTCGCTGAGGAACAGGAAGTGCAGGCGGGTGGGCGAATATCGGAGGCCAAGCAGCAGGGTGTCCCGCTCCTCTGTTACCACCGTGAACAGGTACTCGTTCTTCTGCAAGAGAGGGCGGGGCAGGTGAGGGAGGGGGCAGG